ATTTGCGGTCAAGTGGTTGTGGGCCAACAACAGCTGGCCCTAATCTCTCCACCCGGTGAATGGCTAAACGGGTGGTTGGCCTGCACTTAATGCCCACTGTCAACTGTAATGGCGCAATCGAGGGACATGATTAGCAAACAGTAATTGAAGACAAGGGTTTCCCATAAAAGTGCCGGCGGTAACTGGGTCAGAGTGCTCGACTGGAATGGAGGATTCAGATCGGCCGAGTGTTTGACAGGCTCTCCATTGAAACGTCAATTAGTGCGGTGGGCGGAAACGCACTGTGCAATTAAATCGCTATTCCAACACGGATAGTTGCCCCCGCTTAAAGATAATTGGGACGAAATCGATAGTCCTAATCCACCTTGCAGGGAGAAACCTGGTAATCTGAACTCCTTCTATTGGTCAATGCAATTTCACTTCGATTTAAATAGCTGTTGTTAAATTTATATTGTTCTTATTGCCTTAAGTTTTTCTGTCTTTTAAAAGGATATTTTACAAACATCGTAAGATATTTGCTTTACGAAACTTTGGAAATACATATTTCGGATAACAAACGCGGTGTGTCCGCTTGTTAAACTTAAAGTAAGGTTTAAACCTTGAAAATGTATGGGAATTCAATGCTTAAAGCCTACTTTAAATTTAAACGACGAAACGGTTTTTAAATGACTTTTAGACAATTTAGTTTACTTCAACTTACATTTTTGGTCTTTTACCCTAACATTGTATCTAGCTAAAGTGTTTTGAACTAGCCTTGAAAAGATTTGGTTTAATTTATTATTTAATTGTATTTTTTGTTAACAATATGCTTGCACTCTTATTAATCTTAAATTACTTATTTAACTGTTATTTTCTTTTTTCAAATCCAAGCCCTTCAAGATAAGATAAAAAGCGGAGTCACGCAGCGACCTTGATTAAAGACTTTGTGAGTAGGGAATCCCGTGGGTGTCCGCCGCACAGCGGAAGTTACGAGCGACAAAATTGAAATATAAACGCATGCTGTGCCACGCCCCCCCGGGCCCCTAAGGGGGCGGGAGGGGGCCAAAGGGACGTTCAGCAGCGACACCTGACTAATTTATGTTCATTAAGCAGGCGTTAAGTCGCCTTGAGAGCAGCTGGCAACATCGTGGGGTCCTCATTTGCATACGCTCGAGGGGATGGGTCCGCAAAGGGGTTTACGAGGGGGTCGGGGGGATGGAAGGGCAACCGGGGGGATTCCCGAAAGCTTTGCACACACAGCTGATTACGTTTTACGTGCCGTAATGCCGAGGTGACAAACCAAAATGTGTAGTTCCGTGTAATTTCGGAAAGGTTGCCAGGACACCGGCTAAAAGGGATGAAAGGACGAGTCGGGGATGGGGATGGGGATAGGGAAAGAAACCCAAGATTAATATGCAAATTCATGTAAAGCATTAAACGTGCGCAGAGAAACATTTTGTGTGTGCATCCGAGTGAACCTCTCTGCACAGAGAAACAAGTTCCTAACAATAGAAAACTCTCATTAAGTATATGCTCCAAAGAGTGAAAGCTAAAAACTTTATCTTTCACTAAAATACAATAAAATAAAATGAAAAAGAATATGGTTCCTTTGGCAACTTTTAAAGTATTCTGTATCGAACTGAATAAAGTTGAGTTACTTTTAGGTGAAATATTATTTATTCAGACAAATTTTAAATATTATTAATATTATTTTTTTCTTGAGTAATTTTCAATTTTCTCTTCTTCTATATAGATTTTTCCCCCAGTGCGACTGTGTGCGAGCAAATTACCGTAAAGCTGGCAAAAGAAAAGACACGAGAAAATCAATTTCCCAACACGAAATTTCCTCTGCTCTCTCTAATTTGCGCTTAGTGCGTTTCCGTGTCCTGCAGCTGGTGAAAATGGCAGATATTAAAGCCAGAAGTCTGCGTGGGCGAAAGGGACTCTAGCCAGCCAGTCAGCGGGAAAATTCGAGTCACTCGAGACCAACTCGAAACCAAAGCCGAAATCCCATCAAAATCTATCAAAATCGTTTACGCAAATCGCAAGAGCAGAGCAAGCTCTTAATGGAGAAAAGCCAAAGTCCTACCATTTTCCACTATCTCTTTATCCCTATTTCAGTTCGCTCCGCTTTCATCAGAAAGCTGAAAATCCAATAAGGGATGAGCTGCCGGCAGCAGACTGGTGAAAGTTTATTAAAAAAACGAAAACACTTCGCACCCGAAGTGGCGCCAACTGACAGCTTAGGTCACCACCCACCACCCACTGCCTGCCGAACATCCAAACTGCCAACCACCCACCCCACGCACACTATAATGCCCCCAGGATGTCAGGCAGTCAGTCAATTGTAGTTTTCGTGGCTGTTACTCAAAGTTTTAATTACACAGTCGCTGCAAGGGAACCGACCCTCCGGCGGTGGGTGGTTGGGTGGCTCTTCTTGTTGCTGCTGTGGGGCCTCGAAACAGGCGTCTACAAGGCCACTGGCATTCTGGTGCTGTCAATGGAAGTGGGTGGCAGAAACATCAGCCAGGTCTTGTCGGTGGCTGCTGCTCCGTGCCCCGCCAGATGTTGCCTGGTTGGCCCTTGTTTTTGGCCACTTTTCGGTGTTCTGCATGTGCATCCTTGTGTCCCGGCGACAGGGACTTATCACCATCAACAGGATATGAGAGCGTAGGTATATTTAAAGATGGGAACAACAGAATTATTAAAATTATGGCTACAAATGTTTGATACAATTTACCCTGTGGTATTGGTACTAACAATATTATTTTTCAGTCGATCCTATAATTCATTAAAAATAATTGTCTGTTAAAAAAAAAAATAAACAATCTATTCTTAATGTAAATACCTGCTTTAATTTCAAAACCTTAGAAAAAACTCAAAAGTATGCTTGTATATTTATTATCTGTCATAAAAGCACGTCCCAAGTTGAAACTTGAGTATCTTTACCACCAAAGTTGCTTAAATTAAACTTATTTTCCCCAGCTCATTATTGCAGTTTCCCAAGGAGTGGCAAAAAACACCCCTTTGTCTGGCCAAAAACTTGGAGCAATGAAAAGTCATTTGCCAGCCATTGGCGAGACGTGCGACTTTCGTGGCTGCCAAATTCTAGGGGTCGCCCATCAGGAGGAGAACGATGGAGGAGAACCATGGAGTACTACACCGAGAAAAAAAACCGTTCTCATCGATGTTGATTTTAGTATTTTCGATCACAAAACCTAGCCGAGATCGAAAATACTAAAATCAACATCGATGTCATCTCGGTTTTGAGAATGGTTTTTGAGTATGTGTGCTATCGATATCGAGATGACGTCTTCTCGGTTTCAACATCGAATCGATGTCGATTTTAAAATACAAATTGAATTAGAAGAAGAAAAAAAAAATAATTGAGGAATCGGGAATTTTGCCTCTTTCACCCCCTCCTGTCCCCGTCGGTGTTGTTGTTGGTTCCCCCCGTTTCACAACTTATTTTTCTTTCCTTTATTTAATTACATGGATGACGTCACACTATACTATGTTCGTATATAAGAACACATTTAGTTTCAAATTTTAACTGAAACAATAACTGAAATTATTATATTATTAACAAATGATAAATATAAAATTCAAATAACTTACTATCTTGGGAAAAACACCTTTGGTCGGTCGTGGGAATCGAACCCGTTGCCTCACAGTTTGCAGTCAAACACTCTACCAGCTGCGCCATGGAAGCATCACATGAGGCGCTGTACAAAGTTCAATCACATTTTGTTCTCTTGGGTTCTTGGTTTTTACTCTTATTAAGCCATTTATGTGTGTTAGATTAACAAAATCCTAATTTGTATTAAATATAAATATTAATGAGTAAAAAAAAAAAACGCAAAGAATTTCCGCCTCGACGCGGGACTGAACACACACTTCCGACTATATGCTTACAAAACATATAATCCGCACGCATTAGTCCCCTAGGCTACCGATATCATGAAGCATGACTGCCCGATAGCTACAAGAGAGGAATTCGGCCTCTCCGCCCTTTTCCTCTCATTTTTTCGATGTCTTTTCCTCACGTCCCTCTTCCACAACATAAAAACTGAGATTGACTTTGACTGGGAATACTAGAATCAACACTGCTTTCATCTCGATATCAAGAAGAAAAAAGTGAGAATACAAATACTAAAATCAAGATCGGTCGATGTTGGTTTTTTTCGTTCTCGATTTTTCTGGGTGTACCAGGAGGCGTTCCGCGATTCCAGACGGGGGGAATGTGTCGCGGTTTGTCAGCTTGGCGCGTCGCCCCGATGATGGAGTGCGGCATTGTTGCATTTTAATTGAAATTTCTTTGTGGACTTGGCGCGACAAAGCAGCAACAACAACAGCAACAACCGCTAACGAGTGCACAGAATGATGGCAAATAAAAAGAGACAAAAAGAGGACAAACAACCAGAAACATGGCGAAACACTGTGCCAATGCCAAAGTGGCAATACATAATAATGAATGAATAAAACGGGCAGAGCAATAAAGGCAGCGGGAATCTCTGTGACATTTTCCCTACAAATCTGGAGGGGTATGTTCAACTTTTTACTGATTTTAGATGGTATTTTAAAAATTATGGAAATATATACTTTCTGATAAGCGATTAGTGAACAACTACTCCTAAATAATGCTTAACTGCTAATAATCTAGTCACTTAATTTGCAAACCTTTTTATCTAACTATAAGTATATGTATAATAATCTAGGATTAACCCACAACAAATTTCTAAGCAAACACTTTTTTCAAGGAATACCTACTTAGATAAGAGACTAAAAAATGTTACTGCACCTGGCCGTTTTTGAATGATAGTATTAAGTACAACTACTTAGGAACTGATTACCAATTGAAAATGACAACTTGAGAGATTGCCCTATCGGACATTTGCAATGCTGTTGCCAATCGTATGACTAATATCTCATTTGGTTGTAGACGGAGCTTATCGCAAGGTAATTCGCCTATAAAGGGGTTCCGTGATCGATGGAAAACATTCACTACGAATTAAAACAGCATGGTCAACAAAATTGGACTAGCTTTACTCTGTGGGATTGCCCTCGTCAGTGCTGCGAATCCGAAAGATACAGATGTCCTGCCGGAGTTTCAGCAATTCAGGCAACTTAGATCCTTGGGCTTTGAGTTTGCAGAATACTTTAGGAATGTTTCGCTGGAAAAGTTGAGCATCCCGAACTCCCGGCTGACATCTGAGGAGGATCTGCTGTGCCTCAGTGATATGACTGCCTTGATGACGGGACTTCAAAGTGGTCAATTATGGACTCTGAAAAGTAAGTTAGCCCTGGATCATAAAGTAGTAGATGCTCCTATTAAAGCTTTATCTTTATTATTTGAAATATGTTAGTGATCGATGCCTGGGGATCTATTCCATCGGGTCTATTCACCGGCAACTCATACGACCTGGGAAATTTCGACGAATGTCTTAACCTCCGAGGGGTTATCAGCACGGGCCGGACTATTCGAGGGAAATACTGTTTTCTCTCAGTCTCCAGCTTCAATATTGCTACCTGCTTTCCGGCCTCCTGTTCGGCAGTCCACATGAACGCGTTTGTGGATCAACTGATGAGCCAGTTGCTCAATAGCTCCAGCTTAGCCATGAGTATCAGCGACTCCAGTTGCCAGACAAGTGAAAGTGAACCGTGGGATGGACTAACCATTTTTATGATGTAAGTGGGACATACTTTTAATCGACTTTTTGACCTAACTCTTCTTTTTTGCAGAGTAATCTTATCGGTGATGGGTGCGCTAGTGACGTTATTTACTCTGTGGGACTATTTTCTTATCAAAAATCAGGGTGAGTTAGGAGATTTTGATCGATCTAATGGAAATTTCACAACAATTTGAAACCTTCAGACCAGCTTCCTGTCATTGTGAAGGTGTTCTCAGCAAGGGCAAACTCTCGTGCCCTCTTTCGAGTTGTGGAAACCAAATCGAACCCGAATGTAATCGACTGCCTTCATGGAAGATGAGTGACTCATCTGGGTGATTACTTACCACCAATACTCAGCCGTTCTTCTTTCACCAAATATTAATTTTCTCAGCATTGTAACGGTAAGTATAAAATGATATTTGAATACTCTTTTATATAAAAGCTGTACTATTTAACAGTGGTTCGGGAAACCATTTGCCAGTTTTCTTATACATTGTTTCGTATCCGTGGATTCGTTCTTCATGATTGGCGGCCTGTTGGTGGCTTTGATTCCGCTGCGATTGATGGATAAGTAAGGCAATAAGGCATAAGAGATTTAACTTTAACTTAACTGTAACTTAACCACAGGACTAAGGGAAAACTTAATGTGCCAATGATGTATTTGCATCGTATAATGCGCATTCTTCCCCTTTTGGCGATCGCCATTGTAGTCCATTTGAAGCTCATGCCCCTGATATCAGATGGTCCCCTATTCAAGGGTGGATACATTGGAAAGGCCGCGTGTGGACAGTTGGTATTGGACTTTGCTGTTCGTGAATAACTATACAAACGACAAGGTGAGTCAGCCGTATTTTCAATATAGAAGTAGATGATAAAGTAGATCCTTCAACTTTAGTGCCTGGTCCACTCCTGGTATCTTTCGTTGGACATGCAGTTATACCTCATCTCTCCGATCCTGCTGATTGGTCTCTATCGATGGGGCAAGAAGGCTGCTGCTGGTATTTTCGTTCTTATCCTGCTACTTACCGCCTGTCTCTTTGCCACCATGATGGTTAATGACTACACAACAATAATCACGTAAGTATTACAACGATCGATCGATCGATTTTGTTAAAATCTCTTTTTTATCTAGGACTGCTTCCCCCGAAGCCATGAGGGATGCGTACTTTGCCACCCATACACATGCCCAGCCCTGGTTAATAGGATTTCTTTTCGGCTACTTCCTGCACTTGAATAGGGGAAGGAAGTTTCAGCTAAGCTGGATGACCGTGTGGTCAGGATGGATCCTCTGCCTGGCCATGCTCTTCACCACGATCTTCGCTCTCTACCCGCCCTCTAAGTGGACCAGTCCTGATGCTTCCACCTTTGCGGAGTCTTCTTACTACACCTTGACGAGAGTGGGCTGGTCACTGGCCCTCTGCTGGGTGGTCTTCGCCTGCATTCAGGGATACGGCGGTCTGGCCAACAGCTTCCTCTCCTCCCCGCTGTGGCAACCCCTCTCCAGGCTTTCCTACTCCGTCTACATGTGGCACATGTTCTTCGTAGAGATGAACGTCCGAAATACCCGGACCAGTACTTACTTCTCGGATTACAGAATTGTATGCTTTGACCTGGTAAAACTTGGCTCTATAACCTAAAATAATTATTTTTCAGATGCTCAACATTTGGTCGACTTTGGGATTCACCGTGCTGTTTTCCTATGCAATGCACCTACTCATCGAGGCTCCGATTGGTGGTCTTGATCAGTTCCTGGGACCAAGAAGAAAAGCTTCCCCTATTGTTAGTCAAAAATCACCGAAAGATGATAACGGACCAAGTGTCCCAGAGGAACTTAAAGTAACAGCTCCAACATCCGCTGAAATTATAGATTTACAAAAATCACAGACTGAAGATAATGTATTTTGTGACCCAGAAGAGCTAAAAGTAACAACACCGATCTCCGCTGAAATCACAGATTCACAAAATACACAGACTGATGATAATGGATCTAGTAATCCAGAGGAACTTAAAGTAAGAGCTCTAAACTCTTCTGCAGATTGGGTATAAACATGATTAGTGATCGTAGTAGTTATGGTAGTTCATATTAGTAATGAGTAAATTTAAATTATGTTAAAAAATGTTTAAAGATAAAAAATGTTTAAACCTTGATTTGGATTCCTTGTATTTTTCACAGATAACAGATTTCCTCTGAATGCACCCAAAAAGACTTAAAAACATAAGTGCCATCAAAAAAATTCACAGTAAACTTCTTTTGAATAAATTCGTTTTTAATCACTTATCATTAAATTGATCTCCACTTGAACTACTCAACATTATAGAGATTACGCTGTTCTAAATGCGTACTATCGGTCGTCCTCGACTTGTTTTATCAATCAGAATGTGTTCTTACAGACGGTGCTTATCGTTTTAGGTTAGCATGGTGACATATAGAATAATAAGATTAAATAAATATTTAAAATAGTAATAATAACGAAAATACAACTGAAATATATTTGAAAGGGTATTTAAAATTCTCTTTCGCTTGATCAAATCGTCTCATCAACTTTTTGGGGTCGAGGTTCGAAATCCGTCGCATTTTTGCGGCTCAACGCAAATATAATAATAAATTTTGCATATTGCCGTGGCTATTATTTTTCATAAATGAAACTGTTGTCAATGGCTGGGCCGCAGTCGCCTCCTTCCGCTGTCCTTTAATGGTTATTTTGGTTTTTGTTGTTGTCTATGCCTTTGTTGTTGCTGCTTTTATGCGCATCCTGTTTGCCTTTTTGTCACCGTTTATTGTTTTTCCTGGCCAAGGATATGGAGGGCTGGGGCCTCGCATTGCGGTCACTTTATTGTTTGCCGGATACGTTCCGCCACATTTCGAAAAGTGCCCCCGAAACACAGCAAAGGATGCCGAAGGAGCGAAGGAGTGGGAGTGAGGCGCGATGGAAACCACGTAATTTGCCGTCTGATGAAGATTTACGACATGAAAGCCGCAAAAATAAACGCCAAATACACGAAGGCCACATAAAGCCATCCACCTATCCACCCCCCACTCCGCCACCCACTGAGACCCATGATGGATGGCCAGCCGGCTGAACCTGAACCCTATCCGACATCCTGGCCGCCATTCTCCCCTCGGTCATTTATGTAAATTTGCTAAGAAAATTAAGCCCGAACTGAAGAGATTTGTCTCGGCTTTATTAGCCAAGATGGAGGAGTCTAGGCGCCGGAAGTTCATCTAGGAGCCCTCGCAGCCCAGCATTTTTGGACCGGCAAATGTCCCTCCAGGGAACCGAAACTGGAGCAGGAAAAGCTTACATATACTGAGAAAAAATTGTAACTTCAAACTTTCCTAATATGTATTTTATATCAAATAAAAACACCTCTTAACGAGGTAAAAAACTAGTGACGACCGCACCTTCAACATACAAAAGTTCTGATATCAACATTTGTGACGAAAAATTATTACACTCGTCATTAAATAGACTTTCTAATATTTTCTCATTCGGCCCGCCCTAGCAAACTATTCCAGCATTTTTCCCTTCACAGGCATTTTCTATTGCAGCGTGCCGAATGAGAAAATATAAGAAAGTCTATTTAATGACGAGTGTAATAATTTTTCGTCACAAATGTTGATATCAGAACTTTTGTATGTTGAAGGTGCGGTCGTCACTAGTTTTTTACCTCGTTAAGAGGTGTTTTTATTTGATATCAGAAGTTTTTGTTTGTTTACATTTGCTCTCATAGGAGCTAATATATACATTTAAATTTAAATTGGTCAATCATAATTTTTAAACTATTGTATTTTAACAAATTAAGTTAAAAAGGCGTTGAAGTATTTTAAAATACCTTTTAAACGAGGTATAGCACATGTCTGTACCTTTAGTAGTGTAGAACTTACAAACTAAAGAAATTTAGCTATTTTTAGCTTTTTCCCGCTAAAGTAGCGGCTTTTTCCAAAAGTCGTAGAACAAAAGATTCCTATATGGAACTCTTAAGTGCAAATTTACTGATTCCATGACCCTAAAATACAGTTCGGATACCCTCCCACAAAATTCAATACTCAGGGAGCGTTAATTGTTCGAGCTGGCAAAAGTGGCTATTTTCGTATAAAAATAACTTTTAAACGTGACTTTTTACAGTAATGTGTTATATACCAAAATTTAAGGAATCTCAAGGGCTATACAGTTTAAAGTTGTAAGGAAAATCGTTAGAGCCGTTTTTGAGAAAATTAAAAAAAAGCTAAAAAAAAAGTTTAAACAAATTTTATTTTGTTCATATCTTTTTAACTATTACATTTACTCAAATTGCATATAGAAGGCGTTTATAGCATTTAAAAATACCTTTCAAACGAGATGCAGCACAAGTCTGTAGCTTTAGTAGTATAGAAGTTACGGCTTTCCGAATTTTAGCTATTTATAGCTGTTTTCCCGCTAAACTAGCTAGTTTTTCCAAAAGTGGTAGAACAAAAGTTTTTTATATCGATGTGATGAACGTCATATCAAATTTTCAGAACTTAAAAAACATATTTTGGACAAGTGGACAAACAGAAATTAATTTTCATTTTGGGAAGAAGAAGAAAATCTTATTTTGGCTATAACTTTTGAACGGAACGTCGGATTTTGACAAATGACCCCTCATTCGACGGGTATTTTCAAAAGGAATACAACTAAAACATTGCGAGGGGGCATTTATCCCCACCGGCCCCAACAGCTCCAAATTTCGAAATTTTCACTTTTTCACTTTCACCGCTCTCTCTCCCAAGCCAATCGATTTTCTTAAAGTCTTGGTATGCAATCCTTTAAGTTTTTGCAATACCTTTCGATTGGTGTATTACACATTACGATTGGACTATCACAGCAGATTTTCAATTTTGCGGCTATATAATAGTAGTCGCCTTCGCACACTCTCCTGGTGCGCTTCGTCACTACATGGACTGCCGTCCATAGTGATTCGAGGAAACTCGGGGTTACCTACTATCTACCATCTATCCAATAAGAAAATAATCTAATAAAAATATGTTATCTCAATAGTATTTCTATTCTATTCTTCTATTCTTTTTAAAAGCAAAATCATTTTTCTGCGTGTAAGAATCCTCTGCAATTCATGGGCGTTAACGAGCCTTCTTGTATGTGTGTCCCAAATGAGGGGGCGTGGTGCATTCCAGACCCAAAAATAAGGACAAAACAAGAGGGGCCTCGCACGGAAACACGGATGCAGCATGTCTCGTGTTAGTATCTGTTTTTAATGGCAACTCCATTAGATGAGCAGGATCTGCCGCCCACCCAAGGCCGGATAAGAGGTCCCGACCCGCCCCTCGCTGCCCATGAATACTCCTCCAATGTGGCGACTGCTTGTCCAATAAATAATTCATGTCTGCCCAGAAGAGCCGCCCCACAGAATCCGAACCCACCACCCGCCTCCAAAATCGTAATGCGGATGCAGACAGAGGAAACCGGGCATGTTGAAACGGAAACATAATGCAATTCACAGGACCAATTGAAGGCCTTAATGCATGTATTCATGGCTGCGATGTTTACCAGAATATGGAATACAATATCCCATGGGGCCAAAGGATGCCAGGCATGAAGCTCAAGTTTAGAAATTACAATTATTCTATTAACAGTTTGCATGGGACTTAGCTAATACCGAAGAAAGCTGTGACATTCGACCTGAAATTAATTAACATTCGAAATGTTGTGCAATTAGCAAGATTAATTTTGAAATTTTCAAAAAGAAACATAACTTCGAAAGTTTGAAATGAGTAATATAATTCAATTTAAATTTAAAAAAGGATGCTAGTGATCTCCTTGTACTGGTTGGTATCACAACATAATTTATAATATCAATAAAACATTAACAAATGCGTTTCAAGTTTCGAATGTAAAATACTTAGCTGGCTTAAACATTATAAATATACCATCATTTAAGTACTTAATGGAAAGTTGGAATTAAACACAACTTGATTTGGGAAATCTACTTTTAATTTAAGGTAATGATAAAATATATTCATAGTACTAGCCTACAGAAACAAGAGGCAAAAAGTGGATTTCTCGAGTGTTGAGTGTGAGCGCGCTGTAGTGAGGAGGCCAGCGTTTTAATATCACACGGCATCATGAGGGCCTAACTACAATACAGGAGATCTAAAATTAGCTAGGATTTGGCATTGAGTGGAGTTGCATTGTGGAGTGTGGGGCAGCATTGGATGCCCCTAAATTCAGTGTGGTGACCCCTGGGATGGGACTATTGCAGCTTGAGGAGCACGTGACCGGCGTGCCTTTTGTACAGCACCAGCGACATGTTGACCAGAAAGGGAGCGGCCAGCCAGAAGAGCCGTGTGCCAATGCCCGTGTCCTCGCGATGGAAGATCCCGGAGGCGGCTCCGCGGCCCGTGTTGCAGAAGGACTCCTCGCAGCAGGAGGTGCAGGCATACAGCTTGGTCCGCTCGCCAATGATGATGCAGCCGGGCTCGCAGTTGGCGGCACACCGGCGATCCAACGACCACATCTTGGGCGAGCTGGTCGAGTTCTCCGTGCTGGTGGTGTACGAGAATCGCTTGACCTGGTTGGTTCGGTGGTCAAAGGTTAGAGTTTCCCCACAGCTGACTCGCTCACCGAACCACTCACCATGCAGATGAACTCCTCGCCGTGGCACTTCTTCTGCAGCGCTGTGTCGTTCCTGACCGCCACATCCACGCAGGCCTCCCCGTCGTCCATCGTGTGGCAGGCGTAGCACCACAGCAGATTCACCCTCTCGATGGCCGCCGCCGTCCGGTGGATGTGCCCGCTGGTCAGCGAGGTACTGGGTCCGGGTCCTGGCGAACTGGTCCCCGTGACTGGACGTCGGATGGGAGATGTTATTGATTTTTCCAGCCCAAGGTCGCGCAGCATCAGTAGGACTCACCATTATTCACGCAGGCCGTGAAGACGATGGACGAGCTGGTCAGCAGGAAGTAGAGCAGCGTGATGAAGGGCCTGATCATCCTGCTGCCGGCCTCTGAATTCCTTGGCTAATCTACCGAGTGGCCCGAGATTCTCTTGTTTACGTGCTCCTCATTCGGC